GGTCCCGGTCCAGTATGGGCGCAACACTGAGGGTTGCGATCCGTTGCCGGTCACGAAAAAAGACAAAAAAAAAAAAGGCTCCTGTTGCTAAATAAAATCAAAAGTCTTTGAACAGGATGAATCACAGGCCAGTGTGATGCTGATGCTGGAAAAAACAATAGTTGTAATAGTAGCTAGCATTTATCAAGAGCTTACTGTGTCAGGCATTGTGTTAAGTGCTCTACATGGAACATCTCATTGAAATCTACAGCAGCTCTAGGAGATGTGGATATTATTATTATTGTTGTTGTTATTATTATTATTATTCCCATTACATTGATGTAGACATTGAGGCTCAGGGAAGTTTGAGTAACTTGCCTGAAATTGCAAAGTCTGGTAAGCAGTAGAGCTGGATTCAAACATCAGACCCAGAGCATCCCTTCCACTGTGACCTTCACTTTGAAGCTTGCCCATGGTAATGTGCTCTCTAGACCAACCAGACTCAGGAAAGGGCACTGCGCACCGATGCAGGTGCATGGCTGAGCTGGAGGAAGAAGGTTGCTCACTGCAGGCCTTGGCTGGAACATCACCCGGCCAGGCAGTGCCCTGGAGCAATGTGGCCATGTCCCAGGCCTGGTAAGCTCCAGGGAGCCACACGTGTGCACAGATGTCTCTCTGTTTTGACTTGGAAATCTTGCCCCAGTCCAAACCGATCACCCAGTTCTCACCTGTAAAATGGACTTCCATATTACTATTTGTCATGTACCTTATCTCATGCAACATCAGTCTTACAATGTCCTTTGTGGGATTGTCCAGTGAAGTCCACATTACAGGGCTGTTTTCAACATGGTTAAAAATAACTCATTTATAAAAGCCGATCTTCTGATTAGGTGTTAGGACATCATGATGGAGCTGGGACTCAGGTCTGTAGGACTCATAATAGCTCATCCCTTTTAATTCATTCTGGGTTGAGACCAAAGAAGGAATCTAGGTGATTCCTTCAGGAATTTGTTCAATTTTGAAGGCTTAAGGGGCAGCAAGGGTTCTCATGTGAGCGACTGGGCTTGTCACTCGAGATCTGGTCTATGGATCAGTAGCATCAGCATCTCCAGGGGAGCTTGTTAGAAATACAGAACCTTGAGTCCCACCTACCGAATCAGAACCTGCATTTTTAACAAGCTCCCGAGGTGCCCTGTGTACACCCATTGAAGTTTGCAAAGCAACAGGTGCTGGGCTCCAGTCCTACTGCTGGATAGAACAGAAAAGAACTGCACGGACTGCCCAGGACTGCAGACCAGACAGGGTGGCCCTTCTGCGGATGTGCTCAGCTGCCATCTGCGGATGTGCTCAGCCTGGTCCTCTCACCAGCCCCTCTCCCCCTGCAGCTCCCTGAACATCGGTGTGGGCGGGACAGGCACGTTCACCGTACGGATGGCGCTCTTCCAGAACCCTGCCTACACGCATCCCTATGAAGGCTCCTCGGTGGTGCTGTCCACTGAGGCCTTTCTCTACGTGGGCACCATGCTGGATGGGGGTGACCTGTCCCGCTTTGCTCTGTTGATGACCAACTACTATGCCACGCCCAGCAGTAATGCCACAGACCCCCTGAAGTGCTTCATCATCCAGGACAGGTGAGGCAAGGTTTCTACATGGGGGCCCGTGGGTGAAATTCAGGGAGTGTCTTTGGACTTGGATGGGGAAAATGTACATATTTATATTCATTAGTCTCCAGCTAAAGTGTAATATTCCTATCCACTATGAATGTAGGCAACAAACCGCAAAGTATTAGCAGCACACGTGAAACCATTTGTGTTCATCAGTAATTTTCTGTTACTGTAGAACTAGAATTTCCGCTAGACCTTTTTAATGCATTATCAAATATGTATATATATATATATATTTGCAAATGTATGTTTATTTTTATTTTATTTTATTTTTATTTTTTTTTGTCTTTTATCTTTTTCCGTGTCTGGCAACGGATCGCAACCCTCAGTGTTGCCCCCGTACCGGACCGGGGACTGGCAACGGGATTGCAACCCTCGGTGCTGCTCCCGCGCCTCGCTCAGCCAGTGAGCGGGAACCGGTCTGTATGTGGGATCCGAACCCTCGGGCGGCAGCGCTGCCGCACTTCCCAAGCGGCGCACTTATCCAGTGCGCCACTGGGCCGGCCCCAAATGTATGTTTATATATAATATATATGCAAGCATATAATCATATATCAAATGCCTTAGTATTTTGAGACTTGTGCTTCAGTTTAATTGGTTTTTTAATAATCTTTTAAATATTTTTATTTTATGCATTAAAATCATTATTTTTGAGGAGGGAGGGATGCACAGGCTTCACCAGAGGGCCGAGGAGGTCCATGACTTAGAAATGGTAAGAAACCCAGTGGGAAGGTGTGCCCAGGGCAGCAGGCAGCCTGGTAGTTGGTGCAGAGGAGTGAGGCATGAGCGTGGTTAACCAAGAGCCAGGCGACACTGGGAGGACACAGGTGTGCTGCCTTTCACCAAGAGGCATTCGGTGACTATGAACCACGCCATGATAACACACAGTATGTTAGTGGTAAAGAGGCCACAGAAGGAAGAAAGCAGGGAAGGGAGATGGGCACTTGCAAAATTACAAGCGTAGTCAGAGAAATCGTGCTGCTTTGCCTCCCACGGATTTGTCACCCCTTTTCCCCTAGGTGATGGAGCCACCAAAGATTACTCAAAGCCCATCTCTTTTGAGCAGTGAGAAGCCTCAAAAAGGGGTTAATCTCCCATAGCTCTCAACAGTGAGGCATTACTTGCATTTGGGAAATTAACCATGAATTGGGGTTCTCTTCCTGCATTTATTCTCCAGACCAGCAAGTTACAGGAAGAGACGTAGGTGGGGTTTTGCTAAGTACAGTTTAACAAGTTTTACAATAGAAGCTGGTAACATTCAGTAAAAACAAGTCAGATGACATTCTATTAGACAATTAAGTGGTCCACTAACAAAGGCTTGATTTAGCAAACATTTCTTCTCCCTCCAGCAGCTTCTCAGTAAATTTACATATTAATCAGTAACTTGTCTGTCTTTGAGCCAGCAACCTTGCTGTACTATGATTCTTATCTTGCAACAGAGACTCAATAGACTGGGGAAAATTTTCTGTCCTTTGCAAGGTCAATATTTGAAACTGCAAGGCTTTGAAAAACCAGGCCCTGTGAGGTACATTTGTTTTATGAATCCTCTACAAAATCGTCCCTTGGAGACAGTGACTTGCTCCCATTTCAGTTCTCTTAGGACCTGCCTAGTCACATCAAGGGACATCTGTAGTTGAGTGTGTTCACACCTCTCTGTCATTTGGAATCCCCTTTTGTTGTAGAAAGCAAGCAGAAGGCTGTTTCAGAGGCTTTTGCAGTTCACAGTGTCTGACTAACATTTCATAGTGCTTGTTAATTTATCTTACACTCATTGTATGGTTCTGTCTGTGGCAAGTGATACTGGTTTGCCATTTGTGGTCGTGATTTAAAGAATCTTCTAGAAAATAAATGCATTTCAGTAAAAAAAGAAAAAAAGTAAGAGGATTTAAAGAAAAATAGTTAATAATAATACAAATGTTGGGACACAGGAAAACATTCACAAAGATGGTATCTAGATGAAAAAAAACTGAAATTTAGAAAATGTTGGCGTGATTTCGATGGAGGCTTCACAGAAATTTGGGTTCACATCTTGGCTTTGCCGTGTCTTAGCTCTGAGACACAAGTCAGCTCATCTCTCTGGATATTCATTTTCTCATACATGAAATGGGGGTAAATAATACCAAATGGGCAGGGATTTTTAAACTTACTTTTCCTAGGTATAAAAGTACAGCAAGCACATTGGGGAAAATTTGGAAAGTTTTTAAAAGAAGCAGGAGGAAGTGTGGGGCGTACCTGTGTGCTTCTGTCTGGGTGTGTAGCCTGACCCAGCCAAGCGCACGTGTGTCTCCGCATGTGCTGTTTGAGTTTCTCTCCGTGACTGTGTCGGGTACAACTGTGCATGCGTGCAGATGGGAACACACTTTCCAGTTTGGTCTGTGGTCCTCAGAACCCAGAGGTCTGCGTTGTGTAATTATACCAGGCACATAGTAGACAGCCCATAGTGTAATTATACCAGGCACATAGTAGACAGCACATGGTAGCTAATGATTCTTGAGTGCCATATCCTGGGAGATCAGAAAGTGCTGACTTTTGGGTAGTTTCACCTCTGTGCTGATGACATTTTTGCTTTAGCATCAAATATATGAGCCACATACTAAGCACTTGGAAAAGTTAATTTAATCCTCATAACTGTTTCATGAAGTGGGCTGCAATTACTATCCCCTGTGTACAGATGGGGGAATCGAGACACAGAGAGATCGAGTAAGTTGCCCAAGGTCACACAGCTGACAGGTGGTGAAACGATATTTGAACCCAGGAAGTCTGGCTCCAGAGGCTTTTGCTTAACCACTCACACTATATACTTTGCTTAACATGCGCTCAGGACTCAACCATCCAAGTGGTGGAGAACGGGGAGTCCCCTCAGGGCCGATTTTCCGTCCAGATGTTCCGGTTTGCAGGAAACTACCACCTGGTCTACCTGCACTGTGAAGTGTATCTCTGTGACACTGTGCATGAGAAGTGCAAGCCTGTGAGTCACCTCCCCTCCCTCAGCCTGCTTGTGTGCCCTCTCCCTCACGCATCTTTCATAACCAAAGACATTTGGCGCAAGTTCTAGAAGAAAAGAAATAAACGTTCCCGCTGTGCCTCCCCCTTTAGTCCAGGCAGGGACCCAGCGGCTGGAAGTCTGGGGATCAGCGAGTGCTGCAGGCGGGTAAAAGCTCTGCCTTATCTGCAAGCTTGTGTGCTAATAGCAGTAGCTGACATTTTCAAGCACTACATCCACTTATGTGTGTTAACTTTTTAATGCTTCACAGCAACTCTGTAAGGGAGATGTTATGAGCCCCATTTTCAAAATCAGGAGAGGGCTCAGAGAACTTAAGTGACTTGCCTGAAGTCATATATTGATCACAATGGTAGAGCTAGGGCATGAACCGAGGAATACAGATCTCCCAGTAACTCTTGCCTTTACATGCTGCAAACCCAGCCTGAGGCAGGAGGATGTCCCTTTGAGGTCCGCAGCCCACTCCACATGGCAGGACCACATTCAGTCTCCCTCATAGAAGGTTTTTCTATCGCCCTCTCCCTGCAGACCTGCTCTGGAACCAGATTCCGAAGTGGGGTCGTTGTAGACCAATCCCGTGTCCTGAACTTGGGTCCCATCACACGGAAAAGTAAGACAGCCACTCCCTCCCCAGCATTCTTGGTGGGGAATGTTCTCTGAGCTGAGGAGGGATGACAGAGCCTGGCACCTTGGGATCTTACTGGGATCTGAAAAACTGTGAATGAGTGGATCCTCTGGGACAAGGAGGAATATAAGCTGCCTTCCTTTTACCAGTGCCCAGTTATACATTCATTCATTGCGCAAATATGTGTTTTGTACCTACTCTGTGACAGGCCCTGTGCTAGTGCTTGGAGATTTCGTGATGAGCAGGAACAGACGCAGCCCTGCTCACACGGAGCTTGTGGATCAGTGCAGGAGACGTTATCAAATAATCCCACTCAGCCGTGTATAACTGCAGTTGTCCTAAGTGCAATGAAGAAAAGATGTGGGCTGGCGCAGTGGCGCACTCGGTTGAGTGCGGCGCTTGGGAGCGGGGCGGCGCTCCCGCCGAGGGTTCGGATCCCATATAGAGACCGGTCCGCTCACTGGTTGAGCACGGTATGGGTGCGACACCGAGGGTTGCGATCCCGTTGCCGGTCGCGACACTGAGGGTTGCGATCCCGTTACCGGTCATGAAAAAAGACAAAAAGGAAAAAAAAAAAGAAAAGTTGTAAGGAGCTCTGAGCTCTTACAAGGGAACCAGACTCAGTCTGGGGGATTGGGGAAGAACGAGGCTGAGATTTGGAAATTGAGGGGCAATTAAGATTAACTAAGATATATCAGGGAGGAGTGGGCGGAGGAAATCCCAGGCAGAGGATCCAGCATGGGCAGAGGGCCTGTGGTTGGGGGGAGCCCAGCCTGTTAGAGGAACAGGAGATGGCCAGGCAGGCTGGAGGCGGTGTGGGGTGAGCTGGTGCAGGCGGGGCCAGACCATGTGGGACCCTGCAGTTATTGCTAAGACTTTGTGCCCTTCTCCTGAAAGCAGTGGGGAGCCCTTGAAGAATCCAAACCAGGGGGTGACATGATCGCATTTGGGTTTCAAAAAGATCACTCTGGCTGCAAGGAAAAGAGCAGATTGAAGGGGTTTCTCTGAGACTTCTTGCCACCTTCATCCCTTCTCTTTTCACCGAACCTTCTGTTTTCCCCCAAAGGTGTCCAGGCCACAGTCTCAAGGGCTGCTTCCAGCAGCTTGGGTAAGTTCTGGGCCTCTCTGAAAAGGGACCCTCCTTAGAACCCTCCTCCGGGGCTTTTATCTGTGGACCCCAGGGTATGCTGGAGGGCCTGGACAGCTTGGCCTGAGCTCTGAAGAGGTGACTGTATCTGTGGAAATGCCTGGACATGGGGCTGTACGTATACACACATACCCGTGCTCTCTCACAATAGTGCATGCGTGCACACAGACACACATACTGGACAGGCACAGGAGAATGCAGATCATCCAGACTTGTTTGCACACACACGAGGCCACATGCATGCATTCATAGTTACACACACATGCACAGACAGCTGCAGTCGCAGGCAGGCATATTTTCCTGTGCAGAGGTACGCACGCCTATTACAAACCTGTACCCCAAGGATACGCACACACGCCAGATCTGCATCTTGGGTGCTTCCTGAAGCTCCATGGTTCACCTCTAATACCTTTTCAGGATTCATTCAACAGGTGACAAATATTTGTTGGGTGCTATTATGTGCCATGAACATGCTTAGTGCTGGAATGAATGCAACAGACAAGAAAGAAACTCTCTTTCTCTGCTTCTTTGCTCCTCTGACCACAAAGGCCAGGGACTGGTGGCATTTTTCTGGCTCTTGATTTTCATGGCTACTGAATTGTCTGAAAAGCTGAGTGAAAAGCAAATCCATACAACTGTTATCCTTCTTGGCACATGGCACCCAGATCCAAGAGGGTTGTTACACCAACTTGGTGTTTGACCTGACCTAGGTCCACCCAGGACTGCTGAGCTCAGAGCTGGAGAGTCAGGGTATTCCTAATAGGCTTGCCTCTGTGAAAATCTCCCAGGTTCTCTAAGGATGGTTGAGGAGGTTGGACACTGCACAAGAGTGTCCTGTTGAGGGGTACCAAGCCTCATGCCAGAGGAAAGACTGCCTTTTAAAAATTGGTTCACCTGGGATGGCAAGTTTTATTTTTCCACTCAGAGCAGGCACCTTTTTCTAACCGGTCTTCGGGGCAGGTAAAGAGGAGCTTATTTTTCTAACAGACCAGCCCAGAGAGTGTGACCGGCCAGTCCAGAGGGAGCATTTTATGTTAGTTTGCACAAAAGTGCATCAGTGCTAGCAGCAGCCTACGATTGCTTCTCTTTCAGGGCTTCTGGAGGTCTGGCTGCCTCTGCTTCTCTCGGCCACCTTGACCTTGACATTTCAGTGACCAGCAGCAGGAAACCCTGTGCTCCATGGCTACCGGCTCACTTCCTGCTGGCCAGGGGGGTGATGTGGGCCAGTGCTCCAGCCACAGGAGAGGGGCTCACGCTTCAGTCTCCACTTTAATCCTCACTACTGAAAAACAGTCTGTGTCTTTAAATGCTGCTTTCCCTCAAAATGGGACCTGTGATGTGTCTGTACATGAGGCCCCTGTCTCCTTAAGGAATCTGGCAAAATAATAATTTTAAAATTTCAGTCTTCGAAGTGATTCATTCATTTAGCAAGTATTTACCGAGCACCTATGATGCAGGCACTGTCTGTGGTGCTGAGGATCCCACTGTGTCCCTGTCCTCATGGAGTTCACAGTCAGCTCAGAGAGACTGGATTGAATCCAGGCTCTGCTGTGTGACCTTAGATAAGATATGCTATGTCTCTGAGCGTCCTCCGTTCATCCATCTACTCA